ATTCAAAAGGTATGTTTTGCATTCAAGGAAATATCAAACTTCATTTTCGGAAATTTTATGGTCGCTATATGGTATCTGATCTGATTGTATCTCACGATTTTGACCATTATGGCAGTCGCGGGTGTACTCTTTTCGAAACACCTGATGGTTCATGGACTTCTCTTTAAAGGAGTCAACAACTATACAAATTTTACTCTTGATTTTGCCTTGCTTTGGACAAGATTTTGAATTGTCTTGCTTGTATGGATTTTATCATCTTAAGTTACTGGTGGATGATGTCTTGAATGGGTGTCATATTTCATCTAAATCAAGGGTAGAAACCAAATGGCTGCTTCAACAGGTAAAAATTGTTGGACGTTTCTTGAAGCATGCCGTTAAAATACAGGTGACTGAATGAATTAACATTAATATGTATGAAAACCAGAAGTTCTAAGATATAAGAGCCTTACCTTTAACTAAATCTGTAACAGAACCAGCTCCACAAAATTCCATAACCAACTGAAATTATACCATAAACAATTTATTTTTGAGAATCAGTAAATGTATTCTATTTATAATTAAGAAGGACACATAGTCCTACATTTAGTATATCAAGAACTGTTGTCACTTATGAATGAGCAGGTCAATAAGTACTTCATTAATAGCAGACAAACCTGGCACCAGATTTCAATTTCGAAAGATGCTTTGTGCAACAATACAAAACAAAGAATTTCAAGAGAAATAGACATTAAAATGATGACAGATTTATTTTCTACATTTTCTGATAATTTCACAAAAATGATTATTACCATGCTGTGTGCATTAAGGAAATTCTGTCAAAATAGCCTGCTCTTTTTTCGATTTACAACTATAACTATAAGTATTTATGCAGTCTAAATTTATTGTCCATATCAAGAGACTCAAAAATTTTCCATGTAAGCTTCATTACTTTCATCAAAGATCCTGACATAAGAAAACAGGGTCAAAAAACCCAAAAGCCTTATCCCAACTTCTGCCACAACATGACCAATGGCCTCAAGATTATAAAGTGCTCAAGCTTCTAACCCAATGAGCCACGACTGCACTTTATATGTAATGAGAAGCACAAAATAGAAGTGAGGTAGGTGTCTGCTGACAAATTGCCAAATAAAATTCTTTATGTACACTTTTCCCAGCATTATCAAAAGGCGCTTACCCAGAGTTGGTCATCTTTGCCAGGAGGACCTTTTTTAATAAAAGCACCATAGTAAGTAGCTATATTCCGATGATGAGAATACTGAAAGAATATACACAGGGCTTTAGATTATCTCAATTTGGGAGCTAAGCATGCCGGTAAATATAAAGGCTTGAGGTTTTGGAGCACCAT